CGGACCGGTCCTGGACCTGTCCCGGACCCCGTTTCCTCTACGTTCCTGTAGGCGCGGAAGATCATCGACGTGGTCGAGCCGCAGCCGAGCCTTCGCGCAGGGGCCAGGCCGCCGCCGGAGGGAGGAGGCGGAGGCGGGTATGGGCAGCAGCAGCAGCAGCAAAAGGAGCAGTGTGTTGTCTCGTGAGACCGCGCGCGGGCGGCTTCTCCCCCCCGCCCCCCCCTCCCCCCTCCCCTGCCCCATGCCCTGTGTCTGTCTCCTGTTCTTCTGTCGTGGCTCAGTGTCGCGGCTCGCTCCCCGCGCCCCGCCGCCGCAGCATCCGCCGCGCCGGCATCGCCGTCCCGGTCGCGGTGGGTCGAGCGCTCCCGCAAGCCGGCCTACGCGCGCTTCCCCCCCCATCCCTTTCTGTTTTGTGGCTGCGCTTCCTCGCACACTGGCGAGGCTGCGCGGGCCGGCGGGTGGTCGGTGGTTTTTAGGGAGCCGGGCATCTCTCGCGAGTGGCTTGTGCGAGTCTTGATTATGTCTTTGTGGCATTGGCTACCGTAGTTCCATTTGATTGTAAATAAATTGTAGGGGGGATATGGCCACTTAATTGTTTAGCGGAAAGTGGAGGAACCTCTTCCGGGTGAGGGGTGTCTTCTCCCAAAGTCCAAAGAGCACCACTCTACGCGCCCCATTGCTGGGGCGACGAAGAGGTGCGCAGGAAGAAGGGAGAGCGACGAGGAATGGGAGGCGATGGAGCAACTGCTAGCTGGACGACTACCCGAGCCGAGTGTGATGGACCAGGACCCGCCAGAAGACATCATGAGGGAGTATGACACACGGGTGGTGACTTCACTCAAGGCACTGCAGCAGACGGCGGCATCAATAATCAAAGTACGGGAAGGGAAGAGGAAGGGACTCGAGGCGGAGAGGAAGGAACGAGTAGCCGCGGAAACAGAACGCCTGAGAGAGGGACAGAAGGAAAGGAAGGAGAGGATACGAGAAATGGAGTGGGCGGCGAATGCGTGTATTTGCTGGCGACGGAGGCGACATCGACAACGTGATGCCGAGGAGAAGGAAAGGGAAGAGGCAGAGAGACGCCTCGAAGCGGGGAGAGGCAGAACGACGAGAGCGATGGGGATGACACTCAAAACGACCCACTGCGAGCTCGAAGGCGAAGGCCAGCGCAGGAAACGCGGTGATAGGAACGACGATGCGGCGAGCGCCGGAGGGAAGCGACGACAGCGAGGGGACGAGGACGGCGAGCAGAGAGGAGAACAGACGGCGAGCGGCGCACGCGAGGGCGACCACGCAGGAGAAAACAGACGGGACGAGGGGAAGGAAACGCGGCCCGCCAGGAAGCGAAGGCAGACGGCAAAATACGTCGCCGGACCAGCGACAGGAAGCGCAGGAAAACAAAAAGAACAAGACCAGGAGCATGGAGACGAGGGAAGGCGCGAGGCGCTCCGCCGACAAGCAGCAGAGGCGGCGGCGAAAGTAACGACGGCCATGCTAACGACGGGCGGCACGGTGGAAGGGGCGAAGGTAGGCCCCTCTAGCATAGCGGAAGGGGAACTCGGCCTACTGGCGACGAGGAGGCTAGAGAAATTTGAGGTGTGTAGCATCTACACTGGGGAGATCTTCCGGACAGGAACGGCGCAGCCACCAGAGACAGTACCAGACGAACTATCACGACACACGGCAGCAGGGGGGACGCAGCTGGATGGAAGTGACGACGAGAGCGGGGACGACTTTGACAGCGTCGCGGTGTAACTTCGACTGGCCTGCAGCATCGAATGAGCCGAAACGAGGCACGAGGGCGACGCACTTCGTACGCTACGAGGAGGTACAATTAGGCAAGGCAGCTGCGCAGGTGATGGTCCTGTTTGCAGAGAGGGGAGTCAAGGAAGGCCAAGAAATCACATGGTCATATGGGGACTCATACAGGAGCCACCGCAAGGAGATGGGATACATGCGCTGTGACGCGCGCGCTCATCTTCAACGGAACGGCCCGCCAATCAGCCTCACACGCGTCATAGCACGGACGGCGGGGCACACACACGCGCGCGCGGTTAGGGTTAGGGTTAGGGTTAGGGTTAGGGTTAGGGTTAGGGTTAGTAGGCGCGCGCGCGCGCGCGGAACGCACGGGGCACTGCACACGAGGAGGCGTGACGAGGCTGCGCGGGCCGGCGGGTGGTCGGTGGTTTTTAGGGAGCCGGGCATCTCTCGCGAGTGGCTTGTGCGAGTCTTGATTATGTCTTTGTGGCATTGGCTACCGTAGTTCCATTTGATTGTAAATAAATTGTAGGGGGGATATGGCCACTTAATTGTTTAGCGGAAAGTGGAGGAACCTCTTCCGGGTGAGGGGTGTCTTCTCCCAAAGTCCAAAGAGCACCACTCTTCGGGAGCGCCGCCAGTACCACCCAGAGCGCTGCAAGGTGCAAGCGACGCAAGCGCAGCGGGCCACACCCCGCCGCTCGCGGCTTGGGGCGGACGGCGCGGGGTGCGTGATCTGACATCGGCGTAAAATTCCTCGAAACGGGTCCGGACACATCTGTCATCTCGGGAGATACGGGCACATCCAGCCGCGCAGCCGTGACCGAGCGCCACGTGCCCCATTTGCACCCCATTTCCACCCCGCCTGAGTAGATCAGTCTGCGTAGTGTCCTCCCTTCCCCCAACGCCCCCACGCGCCTTTGGGCCAGCGGCGGAATGTCCTTCTATTCCCACTTGGACGGATCGAAGGCCCACCCTTCGTCAAGCTTTTTCTGGATTTTGTTGCGAAGCGTGACTGGCATGCCACTTGCAAGCTCCTTCACGCTGAGCCTGCCATTACCATCTGCATCGCAATCTGCGAATGTCCTCTCGCGGATTGCTCTACACTTTTGGGAAGACATCGAGAATCTGAATGCGCGCAATGCTTGCTTGAACTCCTCCTTGGTCAGCCCGTCGCCGTTCACGTCAAACTTCATCAATGCTGCCAACACGGGATCTTCCACCTCCAAGCTTCCTTTCGGTCTCTGCGTTTCTTCAGAGTGGCCGCTGCCGTTGCACGAGGAACCGCACGCGCCCATTTGTGCGCCGTCGAGGGACGGCCGCACGGCAGCTACAAAGCCAGTTTGGAACTCGTACGTCCTACAACTCGAATGACTTCGTGGCGCAACGGCAGCGCGTTCGACTTCTGATCGAAAGGCTAGGGGTTCGAATCCCTTCGAGGTTATTTTTTCTCCTTTTCTCTCCCTCTCTCCTTTCCTCTCTCCTTTCCTCTCTCCTTTCCTCTCTCCTTTCCTCTCTCCTTTCCTCTCTCCTTTCCTCTCTCCTTTCCTCTCTCCTTTACTCTGCTGTCCGCGGTTGTAAATAGCGAGGACCCGGGTGTTCTGTCACCCATCAGAGAACCGCACGGCAGTGACTGGGGGAGGCAGGCAGGGCACATCCACTGGCCAATCATATCCCGGCGGGCGACTTGCAGCTCCTTTTAAAGCACGTTTTTACTTTTACCCATCCTCCTCCCGCCTATCCTCCTCGCATCTGCTATGGTCTGCTCAGATCACAGACCATCCCCATCATCTTCCGACTCCATCCCCTCCCCCCCCCGTCGCTCCCGCCGCGCCCCCCGCCGGCGTTCGTGGCGGGACTTCCCGCCCCCTCCCTTTCCAGCACCGCTCCGCAACTCCTCCAGGTCCTCCTCCCAGAGGAGCAGCCGCCCCTCCCTCACCCAATCCTCCCACCCTGGGAACGGAGCAGACCACGCCCGGACCCCACGCCCAGCATGCCAGCCGCACTTTTCAGCCGCACTTTTCAGAATGGGTAACCCTAGTGTTGGGATAGTACACACCGTGTACCAACCTGCTGAAGCTGGCCTCAGCTCACCCGCCGACCTCCCCCCGCCTAACATTAGCCGGCCCCATTATGAATCCGACTCTTCCGATACTGCTGACTCATACCCCATGTGTAGCTAGTTCTCCTATAGAACGTCCGAACTCAGTAGCTATAGAAGTAACTCCGTTTTGACTCTCGAGCAGTTGAGTCGATAGCACGATAGCTGCTCTGTCATGAACGAACAGGCATGCGTTTGTTGGTGTGTGTGTGTTTGCATGTGCATGCACATGTCGTGTTTCCGTGTGCTGTGTGACATTTCCCATCTCATCGCTGCACATGTGATGTACCGGGATCGCCGGATAGCACTCCGCATGTTTTAAGTCATGCATGATGACAGACCGCACGCGCACACATTGCAAGCTGTTATATGCACATCCCCGTACCCCGTAAAGGGGTAGGGCCGGGCACGGGCCGTGCGAAGCGCATCTGCGCTGGTCTCGGGCTGACCGACGGCTAAGGCCGAAATCGTTATTGTTCACACCTCTTGCAGGTGTGAATAGGAGGTGCACAGGCCACAGCGCCCCACCCCCAAAATCCACCAGGTGGGATTCGCGTAATCGCTTGACTCTGAAAGGAGACGTGATGCCTTCATGCGCCCGTCGCGCGTCGAAATCGACATGCGTCGATCTTTGGCCCGCCAGAGGTACATTAGGCGTTTTGGGCGACAACAGCGCTGCGACCGCGAAGTGGCGGTGGACATGCTCCCATGTTGCCGCCGCGGCGCCGGAGTGGCCGGCGCTGCTCGCCGCGACCACGACGGCTACTCTGTTACTCCGGGCCGACCCGTCCTAGTCACAAGTCAGCTGCTGCCCTGCTCCGCTTACACTTCCTGTGTGAACAGCGACACGAATTTTGAATAGCGTTCGTTGAACGATATCGGTGTCGAAACACCGCTCTGACAACGCTCACAGCTGCTGCCATATAATTCTCTCGGCCACACTCGCCTGTCGCCACGCCTCGGCTACATCTTGGCCAGATCGTCTCCCCGGCTGAACCTCGACCGGGATCTCGGCCAGGTCGCGGCTCACGCGTGAGTGCCGTTGGGCCACGGGCGGAAGGGCGTGCCGCGAGAGGCCAGCCACCTGTTCACAGGCCTTGTTCTTGACAAGAAACTACCGCCGGCGGCGCTGCGCGCTGGTCTATGAGAGGTTGAGGTGCGAGCCCTGGAGGCCACCGCGCAGTGGAGAGGGACATCGAGTTAACACCCGAAGCTGTGAGGCGACGCGCCGATGTGAAGGGGCAAATGGGGATGGGCATGGGCGGGGCTGGCATTGGGTGGGGGGCAGCATGGGCAGGGGCGGGCAGGGGGGCGGAGTGTCGGAATCATCAGATGCGCTGGGGGTGGTGGAGAGGCTGCTGCAGTTGTGAGGAGCCCCCC